GACGCTTATCAGGAGGGAGATTACTTTGGAGTCCTCATTCAACAAGCTGATCTTCTGAGTCCAAATGGGGGACCAAAAGTGCAGTTAGACGTAACATTGTATAATGTGCGGTCACACTGCGTGAGGTGAGCAGATATATGGTGGAGGATGTCTTTGCACGGGAATTGATGACAGATGCACATATTTTTCGTTATCCAAAGGAGGGTTCACAGAAGAATACACTTTAATGATTGAACTTGAGTTTTTGAATGACTTTTCTTGATTCATACTTAAAAAATACTTTTTGATTTTTTATGTGGTCCTTGTTTTCATATATATATAATATATAGATTTATTTACTTAATTCTTTTTTTCAATAATTTTTATTTTATTATTTATTTTTTCACTTTGCTTTTTAATATATAGGAATTGTGCAATTGTTTCATATAGCACATTTTTTAATAAATAATATGATAGTGAATGCAGAGTCTGGGGGACCAGATATAGTGAATGCAGGGTCCTGGAGACAGCGGATATAGTGAATGCAGCGTCTAGGGATAACAGATATAGTGAATGCAGGGTTCTGGGGAGAGCAGATATAGTGAATGCAGGGTCTGGGGAGACCAGATATAGTGAATGCAGGGTCCTGGAAGACCAGTATAGTGAATGCAGGGTCCTGGAAGACCGAGTAATAGTGAATGCAGGGTCCGGGGAGACCAGATATAGTGAATGCAGGTTCCTGGCAGACCAATTATAGTGAATGCAGAGTCCAGGGAGACAGATATATTGAATGCAGAGGACGGGAAGAGCGGATATAGTGAATGCAGGGTCCAGGGAGACCGGATATAGTAAATGCTGGGTCCGGGGAGACCGTTTATATAGTGAATGCAGGGAATCGGGGAGAGCGGATATAGTGAATGCAGGGTCCGGGGGGAGACCCACAGATATAGTGAATGCAGGGTCCGGTCGGGATGACCAGATATAGTGAATGCAGGGTCCAGGGAGAGCCAGCAGATATAGTGAATGCAGGGTCCAGAGAGAGCAGATATAGTGAATGCAGGGCCCCGAGGAGACCAGATATAGTGAATGCCAGGTCCAGGGAGAGCAGATATAGTGAATGCAGGGTCCCAGGGAAGAGCGGATATAGTGAATGCAGGGTCCAGGGAGACCGATATAGTGAATGCAGAGTCCAGGGAGAGCGGATATAGTGAATGCAGGGGCTGGGAGAGCCAGATATAGCGAATGCAGGGTCCGGGGAGAGTGGATATAGTTAATGCAGGGTCAGGAGAGCCAGTTATAGTGAATGCAGGGTCCAAGGAGACCAGTTATAGTGAATGCAGGGTCCCAGGGAGAGCAGATATAGTGAATGCAGGGTCCAGGGAGAGAAGATATAGTGAATGCAGGGGACGGGAATAGCGGATATCGTGAATGCAGGGGACGGGAAGAGCGGATATAGTGAATGCAGGGTCCGTTTATACCAGATATAGTGAATGCAGGGTCCGGGGAGAGACCAGATATAGTGAATTCAGGGTCCGGGGAGACCCAGATATAGTGAATGCGGGGATCCAGGAGAGTGGGGATATAGTGAAATGCGGGGGTCTCCGGGGAAGACCAGATATAGTGAATGCGGGGTCCGGGAGACTGGATATTAGTGAATTCAGGGTCCCACAGAGCAGGTATAGTGAATGCAGGGTCCGGGATAGAGCAGATATAGTGAATGCAGGATCTGGGGGGGTGAGCGGATATAGTGAATGCAGGGTCCGGGGACGAGAGCGGATAGTAAGTGAATGGGGGGTCCGGGGAGAGCGGATATAGTGAATGCGGGGTCCGGGGAGAGCGGATATAGTGAATGCGGGGTCCAGGGAGAGCGAGATCCGGGGGGCTAGTGAATGCGGGGTCCGGGGAGAGTGCGGATATAGTGAATGCGGGGATTTTTCCGGGGTTGGCTGAGAGCGGATATAGTGAATGCGGGGTCCGGGGAGAGCGGATATATGAATGCAGTGTCGGGGAGAGAGAGTATATATAGTGAATGCAGGTTCCGGGGACGAGCGGATATAGTGAATTGCGGGGTCCGGGGAGAGCGGATCATCATAGTGAATGCAGGGTCCGTGGATGAGCGCTGATATAGTGAATGCATGGTCCGGGAGAGAGAGCGGAATATAGTGAATAGCAGGGTCCGGGGTAGATGCGTGAAGACGTGATGTAGTGAATGCAGGGGTCCAGAGCGGAGAGTGGATTTATGTGAATGCAGGGCCCCATGTAGAGCTGGATATATTGAATGCAAGGGATCGGGAGAGGTATATAGTGAAATGCAGGGTCCCCTGGAGAGCAGATATAGTGAATTGCCAGGTCCTGGGAGAGCAGATATAGTGAATGCAGTGTGCTGGGAGACCAGATATAGTGAATGCAGGATTTCTGGAAAAGCGGATATAGTGAATGCAGGGAGCCTTTGAGACCAGATAAAGTGAATGCAGGGTCCTGGGGAGAGTGGATATAGTGAATGCAGAGTCCTGGGAGAGTGGGATATAGTTGATGCTGGGGGTCCTGGAGAGAGAAAGATACTAGTGTGAATTCAGGGTCTGGGGGAACCGCGAAATCTAGTGAATACAGGCGCTCCCTGGCTGAGGAATTGCAGATGATTTATGTGAATGCAGGGTTCCGAGAACAGCAAATATAGTGAAATGCAGGGTATTCTGGGGATGAACTACATATAAGTGAATGCAGGGTTCCTACGGAGAGTCGGTATAGTGAATGCAGGATTCCGGGACAGCGGATCTATTATAGTGAACCGCTAGGGATCATGGCCTGTGAGAGCAGATATAGGTGACTGATATGCAGGGTTCCAGGGTGGAGCAGATATGTGAATGCAGGGTTCTGGATGAGGGGGAGTCCAGATTATAGTTGAGTATGCAGGGTTCTGATTGCTAGAGCAGATATTGTGAAGTGCCAGGGTCTGGAATATGAGACAGCTAAAGATAAAATCTGGCCATGTTCATTGGGTTATAGATATAGTGAATGCTAGGGGTCTGGGGAGAGCGGATATAATGAATGCGGGGTCTGGACTCCGAGCAGTTATAGTGATATGCAGGGTCTGGGCGGGGAGACCAGATTTATTCAGCTGAATGCTAGGGTTGGGGCTCTGGATTTGAGAGTGTGATATTGTGAATGATGCGGGTTACGGGCGTGACCAGATACTAGTGAAATGCACGGTCATCTCCATTGGGAGACCGGACACAGTTGAAATGCAGGGATTCTTTGAGAGCTAATGATAATCAGATGACACAATTATGTGGAGAAATCCACCTAATCAGTGAAATACCAGGTCCTGAGGAGACAGATATAGTGGAATGAAGTGTGTCCTGGGAGAGAAGATTATAGTCCCCCGCCACGACCCGGGAGAACGCGTATTATAGTGAATACGCTGGGTCTGAGAGGGAGAGGGATATAGGGAGTGCAGGACCAGGGAGAGCGTTATTAATTTATATAGTGACATGCAGGGTCCGGGGGGAGACCATGATAAATAATGAATACTGCCCGGCTCATGGCGCTCACCCCCCCCTGAGGGATCCCTGGGAGGATGAAGTTCCGGGGCGTAACGGGGTTATATAGTGATCTGCAAGGGTTCCCAGGAAGGAGCAAAAGAAAGAACTGGGATTAATAGTGACAACTGTTACCAGGGGGTCCTGGGGACCACCAGATATAGTGAATCTTGTAAGTGGTCCTTGGGGTCCTGGACGATTCCAGCAGCAATAGCTTTCATAGTGGAATGCATGGGTCCACCTGGGACTTTGTCCTGGCCGAGATAACATTACGTGAATGCAGGGTACTGGTTTGAAACAAGTAGACATGTGAATGTGCTGGTGACGGGGACACTGCCATCTAGTAGTGTATGTTTGTGTACATCACTGATGTTTTCATCACTACCTGGTGAGACCTATTTATCCTCTGGAATGCGGGAGTCCATTTTTAGGTTTAGTGAATGATTAGAGATGCTAAAAGGATAAAGCACTATGTGGGGTCTGGGTAGAGCAATACGGGTAGATACATAGACGCTGAATGCAGGGTCCAGGGAGAATTAGCTTTGGATTTTCAGTGAAATGCAGGCGTTCTTCGGGAGAGAGCGGATATAGTGGACCATGCAGGTGTCCGGGGTAGATAGCGGAATTGTATAGTGATTGGCAGAGTCACGGAAGGCGCGAGAGCGAGGAGATATAGTGAATGCAGGATGTCTTTTGACGGGAATGATGAAGTGCACATATTGTTCGAATTTAGCTAAGGAGGGTTCTCACCGGGCGATTGTAGCAGAAACTATATGATTGAACTTCTGCAGGTATTTTGAATGATTTTCTTTGTGCGTTACTTACAAAATACTAGTTGAGTTTTTATTGAGCGTGCGTGGTTTATTTTCCTATATATATGATATTAATTTTTTTGACGGAGATGTCTTTTTTCAATATTTTTTATTTTATTATTTAGGGTTCTTCACTTTCGACTTCTTTTAACTATCTAGTGAAATTGTGCAATTGTCCGAGGGGAGCACATTTTTTCAGATTTAGTTAGTGAATGGAGGGTCTGGGGAGAGCCAGAATATAGTGAATGCAGGGTCCTGGTGACAAGCAGATAAATAAAATGAATGGGGTATAGGGAGAACGTGATTATAGTGACTTGCAGGGTCATGGGGAGACCAGATATTTAGTGAATGTGCAGGGTCTTTTGGACACCAAGATATAGTGAATGACAGGTCTGGTAAGACCAGTATATGAGTGTAATGTTTGGGTCCTGGTAAGACCCCAGATTAATCGTGAATGCAGGGTCCGGGGAGACCTCTAGTGTATAGTGAATGCAGGGTCCGGGGAGACTGGATATAGGTGAATGCAGAGTCTGGGAGACCAGTAAATATAGTGAATGCAGGGTACCCGGGAGTCCAGAGGATTATGTGAATGCAGGGTCCGAGGGAGACCAGATATAGTGTATGCAGGGTCCGGGGATGTGAGACGCGGATATAGTGAATGCAGGGTCCGGGGGAGAGCGACGACTAATAGGATGAATGCAGGGTCCGGGGAGACCAGATATGTGAATGCAGGTTCGGGTGGAGACCAGAATGTAGTGAAGCAGGGTTCCGGGGAGAAAGAGGCATATAGTGAATTTTTTTTGCAAAGGGTCAGGAGACCAGAGTATAGTGAATGCTGGGTCCGGGGAGACCAGATATTAGTGAATGCCAGGTCCGGGTGAGACCAGATGCAGATATAGTGTATAATTCAGGGTCCAGGGAAGACGAGATTATAGTGAATGGCAGGGTCTCAGGGAGACCAGATATAGTGAATGCAGAGTCTCAGTTGACCAGAGCGGATATACTGGACCCCCCCCCTGAGGAGACCAGATATAGCGAAATGTGAAGTGTCTGGGAGACCAGTATATAGTGAGTTGCAGTGGGGTCGGAGGAGACACAGTTCATAGTGAAATGCAGGTCCAAGGAGACCAGGTGGTTATAGTGCACATGCAGGTCCAGGGGGGCAGAATAGTGAAGCAGGGTCCAGGGGGAGAAAATATAGTGAATGCGGGGGGGGGAATAGCGGATATAGTGAATGCAGGGTCCCTTTATACCGTATAGTGAATGCGGGTCCCGGGGGGGGACCCCGATTAGTGAATTCGGGTCCGGGGGGGACCAGTATAGTGAATGCGGGTGGGGAGAGGTTATGAAAGCAGGGTTGGGGAGAGAGATATAGTGAAGCAGGGTCCCCCGGGAGACCAGTATAGTCAATTCAGGGTCGGGGGGGGGAGTAGATTAGTGAATGCAGGGTCCGGGGAGAGAGATATAGTGAATGCAGGGCTGGGGAGAGTGGATATGTAAAAAACGGGTCCAGGGGCCGATATAGTGAATGCAGGGAGGGGGGGACTGGATATAGTGAAGCGAGTCCCGGGGGTTTGAATTAGTGAATGCAGGGTCCCCAGGAGACCAGATATTTTGAAAGAGGGTCCCGGGGGAACAGATTTGTGAATGCGGGA